TTTTTTTTTTTTTTTTTTTTTTTTAAGAGCATTTATCACCTGGCTTTTGCTGCTGAGCCATGCATGCACCAGCCCAAAGCGTGGTTAAATTAGTAAGCGAGTCCTCCCCTTTCCTTCCCAGATGCGTTTGGGCAAGAGACCCCGCTCCCCCCCAGAGCAGGGCCAGGAGCTGAGCAGGCTGGGAGCTCCCAAATGAGCTTGCTTGCTCATTAATCCCTTGCTCCGCTTTATTTTCCAGGCTGATGAACCGATTGCAGATTACGCAGCGATGGATGATGTTATGCAAGGTGAGGGGAGGTTTGGGGTTCAGGGAGGCATCTCGCCGCTGTCATTTTGGGGGAGAAGCGTTGGCGGCTGAGGACTGTGGTGGATTTGGGTTGTAAAGGTGGAAAATAAGGGGCAGTGAAGCTTTCCTGTCACTGTCACTGAGAGGGTCAGGGGTCTGCCGCCCCTCAAAAGTCCTTTTAGAAACAACTTGTTGGGAGACGTCTAATGCCGTGCCTCTTTCTTTCCTTCCCCAGTTTGTATGCCTGAAGAAGGATTTAAAGGTGAGTTGAGGGGGGGGGTATTTTTTTTCCTCCCTGCCCCCTTCTTTACACCTGCACTAACATTTCATCCCGGAAGTATCATCATCTTTTGGTGGTTGTCTGGGTTTTTTTTCTCCTCAGGGACTGGTTTACTTGGACACTGATGGTTTTCTAAGCATTGGCAACAGCGGAGTGACCAGGAGGGAAGAGGATTTTGACATGGTAGGGCATACATTAAAAAAAAAAAAAAAAAAAAAAAAAAAAAAAAAAAAAAAAAAAAAAAAAAGGAAAAAAAAAAAAAAAAAAGGTGGATTCAGGACTGAACTCTTTGACTCTTCCAGAAGGCAGAAACCCATTCCGAAATGACTGCCCCCCCTCTGAGAAAAGAAAAAAAAATGCCTTATGTCAAAGCAGATTGCACTGAAGGACACCCTGCCTTCAAGAGAACGTTTCCCCATTTTATATTTAATAAAGCAAGAGGAAGGTCGGGAGGTTTAGTGGCAGGGAGCAGCATATCGTGCTGACAGGTGAGGGAGGCGGAGGCGTTCCCCTGTACCCCCCAACTCCGCTCCCGTGCCGCTCGCCTGTCCGAAAAGCAGTTTATAATCCGGTAGATCCAAACCATCTCGATCTGTTCTCTGGGAACTCTTTAAGCGTAACCTGCTTACAGATAATCCTGTCTTTGATCCACTCTTACTCTCTCAGTACAGCATGGAGGTAAAGAAATCGTTTACTTGTGAGGAATGTCTCTTTTTTTAAAACTTATCTATTAAACCCAAAAAACTGAAGCGGGGGGGTTGCCACTTGCCTTTCACTTCCAAAAGTTAGGATGACTTCACCCACCCCATCTTTCTCTGTGAACTGTGGTTTGGTTTTTTTAGAAACTGTGGGGTATTTTAACGACTTTTGAGAACACCTTTTTCCTTCCCTCTGGGACTGCCAGGAGCCCTCAGGAGCTGGCAAAGGGGGTGCGGGTGGGGGGAGTTTCCCATGGGAAGAGCTTGTATTTTTACACACACACACACCCCCCCACACACCCCAATTCTCCTAGTTTTTCAGGAATGCACTAATAATTATTTGGGGTTTGGCACCTGGAGCTCTCCCCTTTGCCCATGAGCAGCGGGACAGAGCGTACCCCTTCCAGACCTTACAAACAGGGCGCTCCCAAGGTATCTCCAGAATAAAGTTAGACATTTCCTCTGCCTTTTTCTAGCCTTTTAACTCGTTTCTGCGGCAAAGTGCGATGGGGGGAGTCAGGTCGCTGCCACACCAGCTTTAGTTTGGGGCTGTGAGAAGGGGTGGGGGGGATGATGACACACACGTATCCCAACTTTTAAAAGTTATTTTTTATCCCAAGAATTGCAGCTGTGCTCGGCTGAGCCTAGGGGCTCCGAGTCCTCTCCTCTGTCCCCAGCGGGTTGGGTGGCGAAGCAGCCCGTGTTTGGGGCCATGGAGCTCTTCAAAGGTGGTTTTTGGGGGTCAGTTTGGACCCGCGTATTCTTTCCCAAGGTAAAGATGTTGGCAGGAATTTGGTGCACTGGAGCCCCTCCGTCCTTCGGAGGTTTTCTTCTTCCCCGACTGAAGCACTCGCCTGTGTACATATTTCCTGGAAATTCCTTATGATTTTTTTTTTTAATGTTACAAAAAAAAATATCTCTTCCTTGAGCTTATAATGTTGCAAAATTAAAGTCTCTAAACTCAGCGGGAAGGAAGGAGCCGGGGTCAGGGTGGTGTTTCCGAGGGGGGACGTACGGCCGTGCCGTGGCATCACCCTGTCTCACGGGGGATGCAGGCACAAGATGTGATCCAAGGCCCCGTTACTGTTCTGTCTGTTATTTGCAAACATTATCGGATTAAAATTGTCATTTGAGCTGTGGAAGCCTTATTAAAGCGCATACACATGGCCTGGCTCCTATTTTAACACCTCGCCTAATGCCTCGGGATTTGTTTTGCTGCAGGTTCTCCTCTGGGCCCTCCCCAAAAAAGGGCTGGGGGCCTCCCCCCTGGGCCTCCTGCCCCCGCCTTGGCCCATGGGCTGGGTTTTGTTAAAGCCACAACGGGTGCCGGAGCCTTGGCCATGCCCAAGGCATCCATGAGGCCATTTTGGGGTCCCCCAGCAGTGGGGAGCCCATGCCAGCCCTTCCTCGATGGGGGATGGCCCCTGGGGGAGATGGGTGGGGGGTAACCATGTTCCGGGTGTTGTTGATCGGATGCTGGGGATGGGTGGGGGGTGCCAGAGATGGGTGCTGGGGATGGAGGAGGGTGTGAGG